TTATAGTGTGGTTACCATGTTATAGTGTGGTTATCATGTTATAGTGTGGTTATCATGTTATAGTGTGGTTATCATGTTATAGTGTGGTTATCATGTTATGTTATAGTGTGGTTATCATGTTATAGTGTGGTTATCATGTTATGTTATAGTGTGGTTATCATGTTATAGTGTGGTTATCATGTTATAGTGTGGTATCATGTTATAGTGTGGTTATCATGTTATGTTATAGTGTGGTTATCATGTTATAGTGTGGTTACCATGTTATAGTGTGGTTATCATGTTATAGTGTGGTTATCATGTTATGTTATAGTGTGGTTATCATGTTATAGTGTGGTTATCATGTTATGTTTTTGGTGTGGTTATCATGTTATAGTGTGGTTACCATGTTATAGTGTGGTTATCATGTTATAGTGTGGTTACCATGTTATAGTGTGGTTATCATGTTATAGTGTGGTTATCATGTTATGTTATAGTGTGGTTACCATGTTATAGTGTGGTTATCATGTTATAGTGTGGTTATCATGTTAGAGTGTGGTTACCATGTTATAGTGTGGTTATCATGTTATAGTGTGGTTACCATGTTATAGTGTGGTTATCATGTTATAGTGTGGTTATCATGTTATAGTGTGGTTATCATGTTATAGTGTGGTTATCATGTTATAGTGTGGTTATCATGTTATAGTGTCGTTATCATGTTATGTTATAGTGTGGTTATCATGTTATAGTGTGGTTATCATGTTATGTTATAGTGTGGTTATCATGTTATAGTGTGGTTATCATGTTATAGTGTGGTTATCATGTTATAGTGTGGTTATCATGTTATGTTATAGTGTGGTTATCATGTTATAGTGTGGTTACCATGTTATAGTGTGGTTATCATGTTATAGTGTGGTTATCATGTTATGTTATAGTGTGGTTATCATGTTATAGTGTGGTTATCATGTTATGTTATAGTGTGGTTATCATGTTATAGTGTGGTTACCATGTTATAGTGTGGTTATCATGTTATAGTGTGGTTACCATGTTATAGTGTGGTTATCATGTTATAGTGTGGTTATCATGTTATGTTATAGTGTGGTTACCATGTTATAGTGTGGTTATCATGTTATAGTGTGGTTATCATGTATAGTGTGGGTTATCATGTTATAGTGTGGTTATCATGTTATAGTGTGGTTATCATGTTATGTTATAGTGTGGTTATCATGTTATAGTGTGGTTACCATGTTATAGTGTGGTTACCATGTTATAGTGTGGTTACCATGTTATAGTGTGGTTACCATGTTATAGTGTGGTTATCATGTTATAGTGTGGTTACCATGTTATAGTGTGGTTACCATGTTATAGTGTGGTTATCATGTTATGTTATAGTGTGGTTACCATGTTATAGTGTGGTTACCATGTTATAGTGTGGTTACCATGTTATAGTGTGGTTATCATGTTATAGTGTGGTTACCATGTTATAGTGTGGTTATCCATGTTATAGTGTGGTTATCATGTTATAGTGTGGTTATCATGTTATAGTGTGGTTATCATGTTATAGTGTGGTTACCATGTTATAGTGTGGTTATCATGTTATAGTGTGGTTACCATGTTATAGTGTGGTTATCATGTTATAGTGTGGTTATCATGTTATAGTGTGGTTATCATGTTATAGTGTGGTTATCATGTTATAGTGTGGTTACCATGTTATAGTGTGGTTACCATGTTATAGTGTGGTTATCATGTTATGTTATAGTGTGGTTACCATGTTATAGTGTGGTTACCATGTTATAGTGTGGTTATCATGTTATAGTGTGGTTATCATGTTATAGTGTGGTTACCATGTTATAGTGTGGTTATCATGTTATAGTGTGGTTATCATGTTATAGTGTGGTTACCATGTTATAGTGTGGTTATCATGTTATAGTGTGGTTATCATGTTATAGTGTGGTTATCATGTTATAGTGTGGTTACCATGTTATAGTGTGGTTATCATGTTATAGTGTGGTTATCATGTTATAGTGTGGTTACCATGTTATAGTGTGGTTACCATGTTATAGTGTGGTTACCATGTTATAGTGTGGTTATCATGTTATAGTGTGGTTATCATGTTATAGTGTGGTTACCATGTTATAGTGTGGTTATCATGTTATAGTGTGGTTATCATGTTATAGTGTGGTTATCATGTTATAGTGTGGTTATCATGTTATAGTGTGGTTACCATGTTATAGTGTGGTTACCATGTTATAGTGTGGTTATCATGTTATAGTGTGGTTACCATGTTATAGTGTGGTTACCATGTTATAGTGTGGTTACCATGTTATAGTGTGGTTATCATGTTATAGTGTGGTTATCATGTTATAGTGTGGTTATCATGTTATAGTGTGGTTACCATGTTATAGTGTGGTTATCATGTTATAGTGTGGTTATCATGTTATGTTATAGTGTGGTTACCATGTTATAGTGTGGTTACCATGTTATAGTGTGGTTACCATGTTATAGTGTGGTTACCATGTTATAGTGTGGTTATCATGTTATAGTGTGGTTATCATGTTATAGTGTGGTTATCATGTTATAGTGTGGTTACCATGTTATAGTGTGGTTACCATGTTATAGTGTGGTTATCTGTTATGTTATAGTGTGGTTACCATGTTATAGTGTGGTTACCATGTTATAGTGTGGTTATCATGTTATTTTATAGTGTGGTTACCATGTTATAGTGTGGTTACCATGTTATAGTGTGGTTATCATGTTATAGTGTGGTTATCATGTTATAGTGTGGTTATCATGTTATAGTGTGGTTACCATGTTATAGTGTGGTTACCATGTTATAGTGTGGTTATCATGTTATGTTATAGTGTGGTTACCATGTTATAGTGTGGTTACCATGTTATAGTGTGGTTATCATGTTATGTTATAGTGTGGTTACCATGTTATAGTGTGGTTACCATGTTATAGTGTGGTTATCATGTTATAGTGTGGTTATCATGTTATAGTGTGGTTATCATGTTATAGTGTGGTTACCATGTTATAGTGTGGTTACCATGTTATAGTGTGGTTACCATGTTATAGTGTGGTTATCATGTTATAGTGTGGTTATCATGTTATAGTGTGGTTACCATGTTATAGTGTGGTTACCATGTTATAGTGTGGTTATCATGTTATAGTGTGGTTACCATGTTATAGTGTGGTTACCATGTTATAGTGTGGTTATCATGTTATAGTGTGGTTATCATGTTAGTGTGGTTACCATGTTATAGTGTGGTTACCATGTTATAGTGTGGTTATCATGTTATAGTGTGGTTACCATGTTATAGTGTGGTTATCATGTTATAGTGTGGTTACCATGTTATAGTGTGGTTACCATGTTATAGTGTGGTTACCATGTTATAGTGTGGTTATCATGTTATAGTGTGGTTATCATGTTATAGTGTGGTTATCATGTTATAGTGTGGTTACCATGTTATAGTGTGGTTACCATGTTATAGTGTGGTTATCATGTTATAGTGTGGTTATCATGTTATAGTGTGGTTACCATGTTATAGTGTGGTTACCATGTTATAGTGTGGTTATCATGTTATAGTGTGGTTACCATGTTATAGTGTGGTTACCATGTTATAGTGTGGTTATCATGTTATAGTGTGGTTATCATGTTATAGTGTGGTTACCATGTTATAGTGTGGTTACCATGTTATAGTGTGGTTATCATGTTATAGTGTGGTTACCATGTTATAGTGTGGTTATCATGTTATGTTATAGTGTGGTTACCATGTTATAGTGTGGTTACCATGTTATAGTGTGGTTATCATGTTATAGTGTGGTTATCATGTTATAGTGTGGTTACCATGTTATAGTGTGGTTATCATGTTATGTTATAGTGTGGTTACCATGTTATAGTGTGGTTACCATGTTATAGTGTGGTTATCATGTTATAGTGTGGTTACCATGTTATAGTGTGGTTATCATGTTATAGTGTGGTTACCATGTTATAGTGTGGTTATCATGTTATAGTGTGGTTACCATGTTATAGTGTGGTTATCATGTTATAGTGTGGTTACCATGTTATAGTGTGGTTATCATGTTATAGTGTGGTTACCATGTTATAGTGTGGTTATCATGTTATAGTGTGGTTACCATGTTATAGTGTGGTTATCATGTTATAGTGTGGTTATCATGTTATAGTGTGGTTACCATGTTATAGTGTGGTTACCATGTTATAGTGTGGTTATCATGTTATAGTGTGGTTACCATGTTATAGTGTGGTTACCATGTTATAGTGTGGTTATCATGTTATAGTGTGGTTACCATGTTATAGTGTGGTTACCATGTTATAGTGTGGTTATATTGTAGCGCGTGGCGTGTCTCGTGTGGCGCGTGCGTCAGACAGAAGCCGCCTGTGTTTCAGCAATCCCCGCAGGGACCGGGGGGGGGGGTCCCACAGGGATCCTTGTGAAACAGGGGTCCCGGCACAGGACCCCCTCTGTGTGCGTCGCGGTGTCGCTACCCCCCTTGGCGCGGGCCCCACGCACAGAGAACCCCTTGAGTGGGGGTCCCCCCCCCTCCACCCGCCCCTCGCCTTCGCCAGGGCCGTGCCACATTTGGGACTGCCGCGTGGAGCGCGCAGCGAGAGGCCGCGAGCGGGGGATGGGGGGAGGGGGGGGGTCCTATCGTGGAGGTAAAGGCGCAGCGCCTGCAAGTACCTTCTCACGCCACTGCCTTTCGGAAGGGTCCGCGACATTGTAGAGCGAACGCTGTCGTCGGTATTTGGCCTACTCTTCCACGTTCATCGGGCGTGTTCGGAAGAGATGGACAGTACGGATGTGACAACACAAGAGACTAACTGTGGTGTAAACGTTGATGCTGCGGGGTTAGGGGGTCAAGGTCAGAGTTCAGCCCGGAGCTACGAGCCCCAGCAAAACCACTGGCATCAAAGTAAGATAATCAAATCTCAGGGAGGGGGGGGGGGGGGCGGCGATACGGGGTGGGGGCCGAGGCGATAGGGGTCTGGGGTCGCCCCTCACCTGATGCACGTCGTCCGCTCCCCGCTCGCTCGCACACACGAGTACTCCGCCGACAGCACCTTGCTCTCCGGGCACACCTCGCTGTGGCACAGGCGAGCGGACAGGTGAGCGCACAGGCGAGCGGACAGGCGAGCGCACAGGTGAGCGGACAGGTCAGCGGGCAGGTGAACGCACAGGTCAGCGCACAGGTGAGCGGACAGGCGAGCACACAGGCGAGCGGACAGGTCAGCGCACAGGTCAGCGGGCAGGTGAACGCACAGGTGAGCGCACAGGTGAGCGGACAGGTGAGCGCACAGGCGAGCGGACAGGTCAGCGCACAGGTCAGCGGGCAGGTGAACGCACAGGTCAGCGCACAGGCGAGCGGACAGGCGAGCGCACAGGTGAGCGGACAGGTGAGTCTGTGGGTGAGTGCACATGGGAGCACACGAGTGAACGCACAGGTGAGCACAGGCGAGCGCACAGGTGCACGTGCACGCAGGTGAGCTGGTACACGCTGAGCTTGAGTGAAGAGGTCAGTGCAAGGATGAGTGCACAGATGAGGCATGGGTACTCACCTGTGTGTGTACACAAAGTACTCACGTGAGTACACAGTTACATGGACAGGTACACACACAGGTGAGTACACAGGTATAAAGATCGATGGTGTGGCCAGAACCATGCCCGGCCGCCTTTGTCTCTCCACAGAGGCGAACGCTGCTTGGGAGTTCAAGGCTGTAAAGGGCAAAGAGGTCACTCCCTCTCCCCTCCCACTCGTTATCCCCCCTCCCACAACCTCCACCCCGCCAGCCCAAAGCGGAGGCACGCAGAGAGCACTCGGCTCGTGGCTCGCGGAGCCACCACGCGGCATGTGCGGCTCACCTGTCGGAGGGCACCGTGTAGTAGTAGGGGGAGGGCATCACCGGGGCCAGCAGGACCAGCAGCAGGGGCAGCCGCAGCAGCAGGGGCAGCCGCAGCAGCAGGGGCAGCAGGAGCCGCGAGGGCAGGGTGCTCTCCCCGCACATCCCGGCGCGCAGATGGAAACTCCGCAGAGTGCTCAGCTCCATCCCAGCATCACTCCCTTCACTCGTCGCCCCCTCCCCGCCCCCTCCCCGCCTCCTCGCCCCTCCCCGCCTCCTCGCCCCCTCCCCGTCTCCTAGCCCCCTCCCCGCCTCCTAGCCCCCTCCCCGCCTCCTAGCCCCCTCCCCGTCTCCTAGCCCCCTCCCCTCCTCCTCTCCCCCTCCCCGCCCCCACTCGCCAACCACCCCAACCCCTCCCCCCGGTGTCAAGTCTGCGATGAGTGGAGCCGGCACGCGCACATTCATCACAGGGCCCCACCGCTCCACCACCGCCCCCCCCCCCGCGTGCGTGGCAATGAGGATCTCTTTACCATCTTCCCTTGCTCCCCCCCCCCCCCCCCCCCATCGAGGGGAGTGCTGAACTGAGCCGTCCATGGCGCACACAATCTCCAATGCCACTCAGCCATTCACCCACCTACTCACGGACCCACTCACCAATTCACTCACCTACTCATTTGCTCACTAACCCACTCACCAGTGCCACTCAGATCGCGTAAATGTAAATGTGTTGTGGTAAACTTACCTACCTCTAACCGACGCAGCCAATTAGTAAGGTTGTCACGTGAACAAAACGTGCCAATTCGTGACTTCGGTACTTTAACACACTGGTGTATTAGAGAGCAAACCCGCAACATTTACCATTGATTTCAAATTATAAATGCTGTGGCTTCATTCTCTAACACGCATTTATGTGACCTAACCCAAAAACTTTATACTCACCAGGTCAAACTTGTTTTACTGTATTTTATTTTCCCAGGTAAGGCCCACTGAGCTATTAATCCATTTTCCAGAAGCGACCTGGCCACAAATGATAGCTCAACGAAGTGGATTATCACGTGGAAATGTATGGCAGCCAAATACTCTAAACGCGTGATGTTGTTTCTAAATGTGGAGGGGAAAACCAGAGTACCTGGAGAACAATCCACGCGACCACGAGGAGAACATGCAAACTCCAACTATACAACAAGTGTCAGGGTCGGGATAGAACCCACGACCTCCTGTATACCAGGCAAGATAATTAACATCTCGCCACCATATAGCCCGAACCCATTCCACTCGACCACTTACCCACTCACATTAATGCACTCACTAATTCCACTTACAGTGAGGGAAAAAAAGTATTTGATCCCCTGCTGTTTTTGTACGTTTGCCCACTGACAAAGAAATGATCAGTCTATAATTTTAATGGTAGGTTTCTTTGAACAGTGAGAGACAGAATAACAACAAAAAATCCAGAAAAACGCATGTCAAAAATGTTATAAATTGATTTGCATTTTAATGAGGGAAATAAGTATTTGACCCCCTCTCAATCAGAAAGATTTCTGGCTCCCAGGTGTCTTTTATACAGGTAACGAGCTGAAATTAGGAGACCACTCTTAAAGGGAGTGCTCCTAATCTCAGCTTGTTACCTGTATAAAAGACACCTGTCCACAGAAGCAATCAATCAATCAGATTCCAAACTCTCCACCATGGCCAAGACCAAAGAGCTCTCCAAGGATGTCAGGGACAAGATTGTAGACCTACACAAGGCTGGAATGGGCTACAAGACCATTGCCAAGCAGCTTGGTGAGAAGGTGACAACAGTTGGTGCGATTATTCGCAAATGGAAGAAACACAAAAGAACTGTCAATCTCCCTCGGCCTGGGGCTCCATGCAACATCTCACTTCGTGGAGTTGCAATGATCATGAGCACGGTGAGGAATCAGCCCAGAACTACACGGGAGGATATTGTCAATGATCTCAAGGCAGCTGGGACCATAGTCACCAATAAAACAATTGGTAACACACTACGCCGTGAAGGACTGAAATCCTGCAGCGCCCGCAAGGTCTCCCTGCTCAAGAAAGCACATACATGCCCGTCTGAAGTTTGCCAATGAACGTCTGAATGATTAAGAGGACAACTGGGTGAAGTGTTGTGGTCAGATGAGACCAAAATGGAGCTCTTTGGCATCAACTCAACTCGCCGTGTTTGGAGGAGGAGGAATGCTGCCGATGACCCCAAGAACACTCTCCCCACCGTCAAACATGGAGGTGGAAACATTATGCTTGGGGGTGTTTTTCTGCGAAGGGGACAGTACAACTTCACCGCATCAAAGGGACAATGGACGGGGCCATGTACCGTCAAATCTTGGGTGAGAACCTCCTTCCCTCAGCCAGGGCATTGAAAATGGGTCGTGGATGGGTATTCCAGCATGACAATGACCCAAAACACACGGCCAAGGCAACAAAGGAGTGGCTCAGGGAGAAGCATATTTAGGTCCTGGAGTGGCCTAGCCAGTCTCCAGACCTTAATCCCATAGAAAATCTGTGGAGGGAGCTGAAAGTTCGAGTTGCCAAACGTCAGCCTCGAAACCTTAATGACTTGGAGAAGATCTGCAAAGAGGAGTGGGACAAAATCCCTCCTGAGATGTGTGCAAACCTGGTGACCAACTACAATAAACGTCTGACCTCTGTGATTGGAAACAAGGGTTTTGCCACCAAGTACTAAGTCATGTTTTGCAGAGGGTTCAAATACTTATTTCCCTCATTAAAATGCAAATCAATTTATAACATTTTTAACATGCCTTTTTCTGGATTTTTTTGTTGTTATTCTGTCTCTCACTGTTCAAATAAACCTACCATTGAAATTATAGACTGATCATTTCTTTGTCAGTGGGCAAACGTACAAAATCAGCAGGGGATCAAATACTTTTTTCCCTCACTGTACCCACTCGCTCACCAAAGTCACGTATACACTAACCCACTCACCAATTCCATACAGCCATTCACTAACCCACTCACCAATTCAGCAATACATACATACATACACTCACCAAGACACTCACCGACTCACTACACCCATTCACTAACCCACTCACCAATTCAGCAATACATACATACACTCACCAAGACACTCACCGACTCACTAACCCATTCACTCACCCACTAACACACTCAGTCGCCCACTTACTAACGGTCACTCAATTCCACATAGCAACGCACTCAACCCATTCACCAACCCACTCATTCACCAAACAACTAAAATAAACTCACTCGCTCATTAACCAATCCACGTATTCAACAAGTCATCACTCATCTATATGCACTTTTAAAACCATCGTTCGCTCACCCATTCACTCACGCGACCGTCTGATCGTGCCTCTGTGGCTCAACCATTGGCGGTTGACCGCGATATTCGTGTACGCATCGCAACTGAACTGCTCGCGATGATGCTGCTGCTGCTGCTGCCGCTGCTGCCACAGAAGGTCACGCGCACCGTCTCCACCTGGTCTCCACCTGGTCTCCACCTGGTCTCCACCTGGTCTCCACCTGATCTCCACCTGGTCTTCCAAGCGGTCATCGCGAGTCCCAGGTCACGCGGAGGCTGGGAGGTTCAGCCGCGTTTTACATGTTTTGCACACATACGTTGCTTTCATTCCATATATTTACCGTGCAAGTTCGAAACATCTCTTGGGTGATGGGTTAGTTGGTGCCTTGGGCGCGCCTGGGTAACTCCTCTGCTAAATTATAAGCTGTTTTTAGGAACAGGTCCCTGCAGGGTGGGCTGGTAGGACAAGTCTCTGCGCTGTCTATTGCTGATTTTACACCCAACAGCACGAGATTTCACTTCGTTAAAGTATTGAAAGGGGACGGACGGACGGACACATTAATCTATTGCAGGCTGGTACACTCAGTTTACAACTTCGTTCCTACCAGTATGACTTCTACATGAATTAAAATAAATACCTGTCGGATACCAAACCTGCTGTGTCCGCTCCAATCAACTATTGAGTCTCACCACCTCATAACAGAAGCCAGAGGGGCTTTGTCCACGCTCTTGGCTGCACGTTTAGGGGCCATGATTAAGGGCAAAATAAATGCAAATAAACTAATAATAAAGGTAAAGAAAGGCGGAAATAATGCGTAGCAATGCGACAACGTTAACACACACTACAACAGTCTCTATGAGAGAGAGAGTGGTGGTGGAAAGAGAGCGGTGGTGGGGAGCTGGAAGATGAGAAGATGCACGGAGGGACACCGTTTCGGGGTGATATGAAATTACAAGTGCCGGTCGCCGTGCTAAACCGCGGATACACAAAACCCCGTACCGTGGTTAGAGACTTGGTATGCCGAAAGGATAACCGGAGATAAGTAAATACCGGGGATGTGGAAAAAAACTAGGTTGGTGAGGTATTGCTGACCTCATGAACCTGGGCGACAAACATTCAGAGGTAGCGATAATCGTTTGTGCCGTCCTGCTGAAAAACTACTTAAGGAACCCGAGCCGATCCCGACCGCTTGGTTCACGAACCGGGCTCTGCTTGCTCCCCAGTGGCCGTGGGAACGTGGCCACGTGTCTTCTCACGCGTGGCCACGTGTCTTCTCACGCGTGGCCACGTGTCTTCTCACGCGTGGCCACGTGTCTTCTCACGCGTGGCCACGTGTCTTCTCACGCGTGGCCACGTGTCTTCTCACGCGTGGCCACGTGTCTTCTCACGCGTGGCCACGTGTCTTCTCACGCGTGGCCACGTGTCTTCTCACGCGTGGCCACGTGTCTTCTCACGCGTGGCCACGTGTCTTCTCACGCGTGGCCACGTGTCTTCTCACGCGTGGCCACGTGTCTTCTCACGCGTGGCCACGCGTGTTCGCGCGCTGGGCTGGTGCGTTACGTGACAGTGCGACGTTCCGCCGCAGAGCAAAAGACGCAAACACACGGACACAAGGACACTCGGCCACAGGATTCAGCGCATAGCACAGCACAGCACTTTATTGGACACAGCCATCGGGAGCTGTATGATTAACATAGCGAGCGAGAGCTGCGCAGGAGGGTGGGGGGGGGATGAACGGATTGCTCTTCGTGAAGCCCCTCGCTGCTAGCGTGGAGCAGCAGGACGATGTGCCAAGCTGGCCATAGCGGACTTCTCTTCCTCCTCCTCGTCGTTCTCCTCTTCATCAAACTCACCACAGCGCTCAGCCAATCGACTCTGAAAAATCAAACAATGTGTCAGCGTGACAGATAGTGCTCCAC